TCAGGCTAGCAAAGGCCCAGGTGTGCTACCAGTGGGGTGGGTGGAAGGAGAGATGAAGGATTCAGGCAAGAGTGGGGTGTCGACATCAGGGAACTAGGCAAAGAAAGGACACACAGAACCCCTTCCAGGCAAAGAAATGCATGCACTGCTCAAGAGAGCATCAGTGCCTTGTTGGTATTAAAAAAAGAGGCAGAGTTAACAAGCCAAATGAAACAGGGACTACATCTGTGTGCAGTTAAGACTAGATCTCTTAACTCCATTATCACCCCACATAGACCACCCTCTCCCCAGGACCCCAGAAGAATTAGGCCTTCAAAAGAGAAGAAGAGAAGGGATCCAGGACTAAAGCCTCCTCTTCCTACAAAACCCCTGAGCCTGATTTGCAGCAGTGGGGGGTGTGGAGAGGGCAAGAAGTGGAGATGAGATCAAATTTGAGACTGAAACTTTAAACTGAAAGAATTCTTATTACTGAATGTGACCAGAAAGTTATGGGATCTGCCCCAAATGCTGTTAAGGGGGAACCAGTGGTGGGAGAAAAGTTCAGCATTTTATGTTTATTTTCTGTAAGCGTCAGGGTAGGACAGGACGGGCTATAGCTGAGTAACAAACAACCCCTCAATGGATTAACAAAATAAAAATTTCTCACTGGCACCAGATCTGATGTAGGTCAGATCTTTGGTTCTCAAAATTGAGTGTGCACCAGAGCCACCTGGAAGGCCTGTCTAAGCACAGAGTCCTGGTCCCCACGCGAGAAACTCTGATGCTACGTGTCTGGGATCTGGCTCAGCTCTGCTTTTCTCATGGGCTTTCAGGTGATGCTGATGCTGCTGGTCCATGAACCATATTTGAGCAGTACTGACCCCAGAGCGGCTTGCCTCCAGGTAGACTCAAGAATCCAGGCAACTTCCATCCTGTAGCTATCGATTCTGGAATGAGGAAGTAGGAGACAGAAAAGCCATACTGCTTTTAACTGTCCTGGCCCAGAAGTGACACACATCACTTCTGCTTGCAGTCCATTCAGAATTAGTCACAAGAGACAAAATCCATCTGCGATGTAGGGGAACATATGGGCTATTAATATTTAGGGAGCACTAATATCTCTGCTGGTTACTGTCAACAAGAGGTTTACTGATGAAAGCAGGAGGTCCAAGGTGAACTTTTTTTTTTGGCCACACCAGGTGGCTAGCAGGATCTTAGTTCCCCAGTCAGGGAATTGAACCTTTATTCTTGGCAGTAAGAACTGGGTCCCAACCACTGGGACACCAGGGAATTCCTGACCAATGTGAACGTGCAGTCTATGCAGATAGTTGCAACATCTACATATGAAAGGCATATTCAATATTCAGAGTTTTAAATTAATATCATTGACATCTTTTCACTCAACACATTTCTATCAATACTGCATCCTTTTCAGTGGTTCCGTATTTATGCTGTGACTGTACTGTGTGTGCTTTTTTTTAAATTTAGAATGTTTGTGCACTGTTTTTTTGTTAGTTTTTTTTTTGGCTGCACTGGGTCTTTGTTGCTGAGAGCAGGCTTTCTCTAGCTGGAGCCACCGGGGGCTTCTCCTCATCACGGTGCACAGGCTTCTCATTGCAGGGGTTTCTCTTGTTGAGGAGCGTGGGCTCTAGGCTTCTGGGTGAAGCTTATGGGCTTCAGTAGGTGTAGCACACAGGCTCAGGAGTTGTGGCTCGAAGCCTTAGTTGCTCCTTGGCATGTGGGATCCTCCCAGACCAGGGATCGAACCCTTGTCCCCTGCATTGGTAAGCAGATTCTTATCCACTGTGCCACCAGGGAAGTGCATGTACTATGATGTTTTAAACTATTCTCTTTCTCTCTCTCTCTCTTTTTGATGAATATGTTTTTCTTTCATTGTTTTTGCAAGCTGGGCTGCAAGGACATCTGTGTGCCTACACCTTTATATCTTTACATAGTGTTTCTTGAAATAGATTCCTCGAAATAAGATAGATTGAAGAGTATGTATATTTTAAAATTTGCTAGAAACTGTCATTAGGCTTCAAAAATGCTTAACATCAAAATTCCACTTTTTAATACTAAAAAAATAGAGTGCTAGTGCTAAGTAGCTTCAGTCCTACCTGACTCTTTGCAACCCTGTGGAATGTAGCCCACGTGGCTCCTCTGTCCATGGGATTTTCCAGGCAAGAACATTGGAGTGGGTTGCCATGCCCTCTTCCAGGGGATCAAACCGTCATCTCTTATGTCTCCTGCATTAGCGGGTGGGTTCTTTACTACTAATGTCACCTGGGAAATAGAGTTTAAAACAAAACAAAGTAAGTAGGGCTTAACAAAAATTAATACACATTTGCATTTCTCATAAGCATGTAGAATTTCTCCCTCTGGAGTTTTACAACAGAGACTCTGATTTAGTCTAACTTTCTTATTCTGATAAACATAATCTAGGCCAGGACTCAGGAAAGTTTTCCATGAAGCGTCAGATAGTGAACGTTTTGGGCTTTGCAGGCATACAGACTCAGCTGCAAGTATTCAACTCCGCCATAGTAATGGGAAAGCAGTCACAGACATACCATATGAAATGGAATGGGCATGGCTGTGTTCCTCTGAAACTTTATTTACAAAACCAAGAATCGTGTTGGATTTTAAATAAAATTTTTGGCAGTGCCACATGACATATTGAGATCTTAGTTCCCCAACCAGGGATCAAACTGGTGGCCCCTGCAATGGAAGCATGCAGTCTTAACCACTGGGCCACCAGAGAAGTCATGGCTTTGTGCTGGATTTGTTCTGAGGATTGTAGTCTGCTAAACCTGATCTAGATAATTGATCTAATAAATCATTTATCCTTCATTATAGAAGTCTTATTGCTTGTATTGGCTGATTATCTTTTTCTTCTCTAATGTTAGCTGCTGATTTTGTCGAGTCACGAATTATAGGAAAATGATATCCAGGTATCATGTTTATTGCTATATGTATCTTATTAAGAAGAGTGGTAAATCCTTATTGACTAATTCTGTGGCTTTTGGTCTTTTGGCTTCATTCTTTTGGGAATTTGGGGGAAAGTCTATATTTTCCAGATCCTAAGAAATTCAACTGTGACCATTTTAAACAACTCTGCCAGATGGTTCTGGGCTGCTTGGAGAAATGCTGATATCAGCTTGCATTTTAGTTATATTATTTATTAGCTTTAAGACTGTGGGTGAGTTGTTTTAACTCTCTGAGCTAACATTTTGCTTCTCTCAAATGGGGATACTTAGCTTAGTGAAATTGTTGGAACTTAGAGAATAATACATAGTTCTTAAGAAAGCCTGATTTAGGAGAAAAATAGATTTCAATGCATGAATATCTATCAAGAATGAATTTACCTAAAGCACAGATTATACACTAGGTGCAGACCAGTATTCTTGCCTGGGAAATCCCACAAACAGAGGAGACCGAGGGGCTACAGTCAAAATGGGGTCGCAAAGAGCTGGGCATGACTTACTGACCAAACAATAGCAGAAACTGTGTCACTACTCTTCTAAGACCCTGACTATCAAAATCTCACGTTTTGGGGATCTTCCCAACCCAGGGATTGAATCCAGGTCTCCTGCATTGCAGGCGGATTGTTCACCAACTGAGCTATGAGGGAAGCCCTTAAGAAACTAAAGTTGACTTAATAGAGCTAATAAAACCCCTTGAAAAAAATCTGAAAAAAAAAAAAATCTCACGTTTTGTTACTATAAAAATAGAGTTTAAAACAAAACAGAATAAATAGGAACAAAAATTAATATGCATTTGCATTTCTTATAAGAAATGCCTTACCAGTTTCCATAGAGAGAAATAGAATTTTCCCTTAAATATAAAGGCAGTTTAAATGCAGGTGAGGGACTTTCCTGGTGGTGCAGTGGTTGAGACTCCACACTTCCAGTGCAGGGGGCACAGGTTTGATCCCTGGTTGGGGAACTAAGATCCCACATTCCAGGCGGTATGGCGGAGAAACAAACAAAAAAAAAAGAAAAAGTAAATGCAGATGAGAAAAATGAGCTTACTAAAAAGTACAAACAAATTTCTAGGAACACCTGGACTGTCTGGAGGGCAGAAACATAAGTGGAAGTTGTAGGATGCCATCCTCAAGTATATTTGCAGGGGAAGGTCATACCTTGGCGTTCAGAATGGCAGATAACAGGTGAAACTGATTGAGAACATTTTAGGAATATCCTCATGACCAAAGGAGACAGGAGCCTGGAATGGTCTGGGATGGGGAGGACCAGCCAGTGAAACAGGACTTCAGTGCGGATTTGCCCGCATTCTGATGCTCAGACAGGTGAGGCCACAGGACATTGGGGTTATAAGATGTACAAGAGCAGTGCTGGTGACCAGGACACACAGATACTAAGGACCACACTGAGCAAGTAAGTGCAAGGATCTCGGTGGAAAGAAGAGACAAAATGTGTAGCAGTCAAGTCCAGTTCATCATTTTTGCCAGAATCTTAGAGAGACCAAGTTTTATCCTCTTCCTCAGGGAAAGCCTGAATCAAAGGTTCCAGCCCCAGAGCCCATCTCCTAACTGTATCCTAACTGCTCATCATTCCAGGACAGCAGCTGGCATTTCCCAACTCATGTCACCCACATCCCAAGGATCAGGGTCACTCTCCTGGAGCTAGGCCTCCGGTCCTGCTAGATGTCTGTGTGCTGCCTTGGAATGGAGTATCCCCACCCTTGCTCCTGCTCCTTTGGAGTCTTGCCCTAATAAAGGCTGCTGCAACAGGCCTCCTATGTGCTACACAGTCATTCATTTTTTTTTTTTGCTTAACCAAAATCCTATTCACAGAATGCTTGAGAAAATATTCTCGTGCCTTCTGCCCTGTCTAAAGACAGAGACATGGAAAGAGGAAAGGAGCTAGCTGGGAGGAATTTGCCTCTGATCTGTTGGTTTCCTAAGTGTCCTGTAGTCATGGACCCACTGCAGTGTGCATGTACGGTCCTGCTAGCCAAAGAAGGTCCACCAGAATGCCTAAACAGAAAGAAGGACACAACCTGAATAATGCCATAGAAACAGTTTATTTTGGACACAAGCTCTTTAGAAAGCAATCATTCCACCATTTTAGATCTTCATCTTCCAGGGCTCCAATTCCAGGAAGAGGAAATAGCAGGGAGTGTTTTGTCACCATGCCAAGCATCGAATTCGTGGATTCATGAGAAATCTTCTGGTGCAGGTCTCCAGGCATGCTCAATAAACTTCCAGTCCGGCTTTCCCACGGCCACCAGAGTCACCCTTTTAAAATACAGATTTGATCATGTTAACCATGCACGGGCTTCCCTGGTAGCTCAGCTGGTAAAGAATCTGCCCACAATGCAGGAGACCCCGTATCGATTCCTGGGTTGGGAAGAGCCACTGGAGAAGGGATTAGGCTACCCGCTCCAGTATTCTTGGGCTCGCCTGGTGGCTCAGCTGGTAAAGAGTCTGCCTGCAATGCGGGAGACCTGGATTTGATCCCTGGATTGGGAAGATCCCCTGAAAAAGCGAACCGCTACCCACTCCATTATTCTGGCTTGGAGAATTCCATGGACTATTCCATGGGGTCGCAAAGAGTCGGACACGACTGAGTGACTTTCACGTTCACTTAACTGTGCTTAAAAACATCCAGCAGTTGACCAAACTCTTCAGCAGGAAGCTGTCTTTCCTCATTGGACTCTGGCATGGATGACCCTCCACTACTCCCGGAGATGTACAACCTCTTTCTACCACCATCGCCTCCCCATCTTCAATGGAGGACCCACACTCCTTCCACCCTCTCAACTGCCCTGTCCTCCTCCAGGTAATTTCTGCATCCTTTATGCTCTCTTTTGATGCTCTCTACTCTCCGACAACTTTCCCAATCACTCTCCCTTGAAGCAAAGTCAATGACTTCTCTCTTTGTTCCCACAGATCTTAGGCAAACTATATGTAAAGCACTCTTCACACCAGGCTGTAATTATTTATCTAGGTAATGTCTCCCTCACCCTGTTGTTCTTGTCTTTCTGTTGCAACTCTAACACCACACCTGCCTGACACAGGAGATACTCTGTCCCATGGGGTTCCCTTTCCCTTCCTTCCTCCTCCAAGGATGACCCATTTCCAGGAAAACTGTAGCTTTGCAGGGGTGGGGGTGAGGAGAAGGAAAGTGGGATGCCCTTGGTTAAGAGTAACCTGTGAAAGAATTCCCTGGTGGTTCAGTGGTTAAGAATCCAACTTCCAATGGAGGGGACCAAGGTTTGATCCCTGGTCAGGGAACTAAGATCCCACATGCCCTGGGGAAACTAAGCCAGCATGCTACAACAAGAGAGAAGCCCAAACAACGCAACAAAAATCCTATATGTGGTAACTGACTCGCAGCCAAAATAAATAAATAAATATATATATTTTAAATGACCTGTGCATCTACGGTCATGGATACATGTCTCATCTGAACTCATCAGGGCTCTCCTGGGATAGGGCTCCTCTTCAAGGAGGAGACTTTAGATGATGCAGCCAGCTGTCCTTCTGCCATGTTTCCAGCCTCTTTCTCTTGGGGTTTTCCAGATTCCCATGTGCAGTGGACATGTGAGCAGCCCTCTGTTCCAGCAAAGTGCACTGGGGTGCTGTTGGCACCCTCGGCCAGCTCTTGGCTGATTTGTACTCACCTTGAAGACAGGCTTTTTGCAGATGTAGCCACATCCATTGCTGCAGCATTTCATTCCCTTGGGACAGGAATCATCTCCTGAGCACCCATTAAGACAAATCCCTGGAGAATCTTTGGGCACCTCTGGGCAGAATCCAGGTCTCTGCTTTCCTGAAACACAGGGTGGTTTTTGTGGAGCCTGGAATGCAGACTGAGACAGGTTTGAGAACTGAGGCTGGAAGTCTGAAACCCTCATTGCTGGCAGGACTCCTGCCTCTTCCGTTGCTTCCTTTGGGCTCTGGGCTCCTCCTTCAGCCTCTGCTGCTCCTCTCTCACTCTTAAGGCCAGAGTCTGTGCCTTCAGAGAGAGTTCTTCCTGCTCCCAAAGCTACACAGACTCAGGAGACAAGAAACCTGTACAGTCATAGCCCTCTTCTTCTTGCTGCGTAAGATCTTAGAGAAGTCCCTGCTTACAGAGATCTCCGTCTCTCCACTCACACACTTTGTGTTTGTTCTGCAGGTTCCTGTGGAGTCCCACTTCCAGGCACGTGTCCTAACTAGAGAGAACCTTACACTTTACCCACAACTTCTTTTAGTTAAATTATTTGTTTTTAATTGAAGGATAATTGCTTTACAGTATTGTGTTGGTTTCTGCCAAACATCAACATAAGTCAGCAATAGGTATACCTATGCCCCCTCCGTCTTGAACTTCCCTACCCGCCTAGAGGGATGCCTCTAGATGGTAACAGAGCCTGGTTTGAATTCCCTGAGTCATAGAGCAAATTCCCATTGGCTATCTATTTATCTATTTTACCAACAGATGGGTTGGTAATCAGATCCAATCCAATCTGACAAAGAGAATTGGAAACAGGATAAATGCTCATTCAGATCAAAAGAGACGTGTCTGATTAATGTTGACTCTCCACTCTGCAGCGGGGACACAGCTGATTCCAGGCCAAACCATCTCCAAGTCTAACACTGGGCTCTGAGCCTTCTCTGCTGTCAGGAAGGAGTCACTTTAAAGCACCCTCACCTCTGATAGGAGGTCTCTGAGCACAGGCCACCTCCAGCCCCATGATGATGAAAGCCACCAGAACGAAAACGGTGCCTGTCTTCATGCTGGCCTCTGCTCTGGTGCAGGGGCAGATCCCAGCCCCAGTTTATACTCTCAGTGTCACCAGAAAGGAGGGTGGGGCAGGAGGCAGTAAAGCAGGAAGTGCATCAAATAGAAGCTCTCCAGAGAGTGCCCTCAGAAGTTCTAATTTATTGTTCTACTTCACAACTGGTTTCTTAGACTTGGGAATGGTTTCTTGGATATGCAAATACCAAACTAGAGAGTTTGGAAATACTTTTTAACTATTCATTTATTACTCCATCACAACTTGGCCCTGGTTTCCCTGGTGCCTTTAGGAACTGGGTCAAAGTGTTGCAGGAAGGGGGACCACTTCCAGGGTCCAAAAGTGAACTCTTGTCTAATACTCGAAAATGAATTGTCTGAGGAGACACACATGCTGAGAAAGCAAGAGACTTTATTGGCAAGTGATGCCCAGGTGTAGAAGGGTCCAGGATCACTGCTCTGCCTCTTGACTCACAGTCCTGGATTCTATGGTGATAAGAGTGAGTTTCCAGATGTTCTGGCCAATCATTCTGACTCCAGCTCCTTGCTGGTGACACATGCATTGCTCAGCCAGGATGAATTTCAGTGAGGAGGATTCCGGGAGGTAGGTAGGACTTGTGGTGCCTCCTTTTGTCTTTTCCCGAATTCTCCCTGTTGGTGATGATGTGTTAGTTCCGTATTCCTTACCAGGACCTCCCGTCATAAAACAACTCATGCAACTGGTTACTATAGTGCCTGGCTAGGATGGGCGATTTCAGTCAATATTTCCCTTACAACTCTCCCCTAAGAGAGTTCATACTCAAGATACTTCTTGAGTCGGGAATTGGGAATTGAGGTGCAGTTTTCTTTCTTCCGTAACTACTTCCAGCTGAGAATGGGTATGCCACTGCTGCTGCTAAGTCGTTTCAGTCATGTCTGACTCTGTGTGACCCCATAGACGGCAGCCTACCAGGCTCCTCCGTCCCTGGGATTCTCCAGGCAAGAATACTAGAGTGGGCTGCCATTTCCTTCTCCAGTGCGTGAAAGTGAAAAGTGAAAGGGAAGGCGCTCAATCTTGTCCGACTCTCAAAGACCCCATGGACTGAAGCCTGCCAGGCTCCTCCATCCATGGGATTTTCCAGGCAAGAGTACTGGAGTGGGGTGCCATGGCCTTCTCCAGAGAATGGGTATAGTCCTGCCTAAAAACTAGTAATGGCAATTTAGCCTGAAACTGTTGGAGATGAAACAGGGGCCAAACAGGAGAGCTAACAGGATAGTCATCACTGGGCCCAGAAAAAGAAGGTAAAATTTGGGGTGAGAACTGAAGGATGTGTGACTTTCTTCTGATTGGTTGCTGGCGAGGTAACAGGGTAGTGCTCCAGGAATCTTGCATTCAGCCTAAAGTTACCATCCCCCACCTGGGTGGGGCTCAAGTTCAGCAGAAGAGCTCAAAGATACTGTTATGCATATTCCTTGAGTAGGAACCAGGACCTGCCCCTAGGTAGGAACCACTTGACTGCTCCTCCTCTGTTTCTGCATTCCCTCCCTTCCCTGATTAGTAATTGTCTGAATCTGCCCTTCGGAACTCAGAGAAGGTCAAGGAGGTGGAATAAAGCTTACATCCTACAAACAAGAAATGGGACACAGAAAGGATTTGTACTCCAGAATCCCAGAGTCCTGTAGTTTTAATTCCGAGAACTGAACAACTGTAGTTCTGATGACTTCCTGTCAAAATGGAGCATAGTGCTGCCTCAATTTGGAGAATAGACACTGAATTGAAAGTATGTCTTGAGTTCCAAGTCCCGGATCTGAGTCTTGTTTAATTAAAATCTCAGTCCCTTCGTCTGCCATTTTGATTTAACAGACCCAATCAGAAGTAGTCGGAGGAGTAATAACTAGAATTTTAATAGACAAAATAAATCTCCTTCCTTTTCAGAAGAGCCTGAAACCCAGTCTAGACCTGGCACTTCGGGGAGACTTGTAGCCAGGTAGCCAGTTGTCTAGTTTTATCTAAGTAGGTTTTAACTTTTAACGTGGTATCAACATATAGATAATAGGTGTTTTTGGTCATCATACGTGTCTCTTGTTTTTGTTAATGTATGATCTAAAGCAATTTCCTTTATCTAGAAATGTAATAGTTACAAGAGGAACCCTTTAAAAAGTAAAGTTGCTAGATGCCAGCAGACATCATTTTGAGAATGTCCAGTGGCACCCAAGACTGACACAGCTCACAAAACTCAAGTTCTTAGCAATACGAGGACTTGTCTAAAATTACACTCATAGTGTCACCCAGGAATTTTCTTGGATTTCTGAGCCATAGCTACTCTATTTTGACTTTCAATTGTAATATTCTCCTTAATAGCCAAAGCAGATATCAGCATTAACAATGTTGGTATNACCTACCATCTTACTTGGGTTTCTCTTACCTCGGACGTGGGGTATCTCTTCACGGCTGCTCCAGCAAAGCGCAGCCGCTGCTCCTTACCTTGGACGAGGGGTATCTTCTCACAGCCGCCCCTCCTGACCTTGGTGGAGTAGCTCGTCTCCGCCCTCCTGCGCCCGCGCAGCAGCCGCTCCTTAGAGGTGGGGTTGCTCCTCTCGGCCGCCTCCCCTTGACCTCGGGCGTGGGGAAGCTCCTCTCGGCAGCCGCCCCTGACCTCGGACGTGGGGAAGCTCCTCTGCGCCACTCCTGCGCTGTCGCAGCCTGGCGCTCTCGGTTGCCATCCCTGACCTTGAGCGAGGGATAGCTCCTCACGGCCGCGCCCAGGGCACCTCTGCGCGGTCCGTCGCTAGTGTAAATCTACCTAAGTCCACCCATAATTGTGGGAGATTTTATTCCTTAGCTGAAACTGCTAATTGCTCTGATTTAGTTTGAGAAATCAGACAGAAGAAAACTCATATTTATGGCCAGGGTCAGAGCAGACATTATTAATTGGCCAGGTGAGAAGTTTCCATCTAATGATATCAAAGTGATATGAACATGACTATAATTTTTGTAAGGTAAATTTCATCATGGCCAACCAATTAAAGCTTTGGAGTGGAGAAATTCACCAAGGAAACCCAGAAGTACTAAATATAAGTAATTGGCCAGAAACCCAACAATTGGATTGATTTCTAAAACTAGCATGGGATCATGCCTATGATAGAACATTTGATTCATATACAAGGGTCCAAGAAGTCAAGAAAACCTCATAAATGATCATGCAAGTCAAGCTGAAGATCTTGGGGGAGCTGTCTACTTCTGATAGTGTCTTCTTCTCATCCCAGTGTGAGTGGAGTTTCTCTGTTTGAGAATCATTTTAAAGTAATTTTGAAGTCAGTCATCCTCTCTATAGGCAAGTCTAGTGCAAGGGCACTTTGCGAGTGGAAATTACTTCAAGAGTCAATTTCCTTCAGTTTCACTGTGCATGAGATAAGAGTGCCTTAGAGACAGATAAATATCCTTCTGTCCAAGTTGGAGGTAGTCCTTTAGATTACATCTTTTCCAATATGCACGTAACTACGTGTCTTTTCCAATATGCATACTCCCCTGGTTGCAAGTCTTGGGGCATCTGATACAGTTTACCATACAATATAACCTAAGGTGATTTATTACTCATTTGGTAATACTTTCCATGTAACTTAACATACCAAATGAACCTAATTCATTTAATATATCTCTTTGGGATGTTTCGGGGGCCTTTCAAAGCACCCCAAAGTTAGCTAGAAGTCAAGAGGACTTCATTAGAGTTTCATTCAGGAAGTTTTGTTAAAAATATCCCAAGAATCTAGAACACTCAGTCATATAGAATCATGGATCACTGTGAAACTGTGGTTATTTACTTAGCCAGCGCTGGTGGGTATGTAAGTTAGCTTGCTGATATATTAGAGAGAGCATAAACTGAAGCTCAAAGTCTAGTGGAAGTCAACTCTGCCATCTTGGCCCTGGTTGGTTCTACCAGTTTCCATCATGTCCTGTGGACTGTTCTCTTAAATGCTGTGCCCTGCCCCCTTCTCTCCTGTTTCAGCCCCCCCTCAGAGACTTGGCTCCCATACTCCTACAGGAAGCAGAGGGGCCTCAACCCTGCCTGTGAAGGAGTAAAAATCCCTGGATGCTGATCTAGGGGCCCCAGGGGCAGGACAACTGCTTGCTTTAATCTGTATGGGCTGGAATTCTCATGTAGCCATAATCTTTATGTGGAACTGTTGGAAGTGCTTCCATAGCCTTTCTATGAATCTCTTAATGATGAAGTGCTTTTTGGAACATATCAGAGTACGAATGTGAATGTGAGTGTGTTAGTTGCTCAGTTGTGTCCAACTCTTTGCGAGTCCATGGACTTTAGCCCACCAGGCTCCTCCATCCATGGAATTCTCCAGGCAGGAATACTGGANGCAAATTCACCTCCACTGAGTTGATGATTTTATCTAACCATCTCAATCTCTCAATCTTCCCCTTTTGCCTTCGATCTTTCCCAGCCTCAGAGTCTTTTCCAATGAACCAGCTCTTCACATCAAGTGGCCAAAGTGTTAGTGCTTCAGCTTCAGCATCAGTCCTTCCAATGAATATTCAGGGTTGATTTCCCTTAGGGGAGATTGGTTTGATCTCCTTGCAGTCTAAGGAACTTTCAAGAGTCTTCTCCAACACTACAATTAAAAAGCATCAGGTATTTGGCTTTCAGACTTCTTTATGGTGCAACTCTCATATCTAGTGACTACTGGAAAAACCACAGCTTTGACTATAGGGACCTTTGTCAGCAAACTGATGTCTTTTGCTTTTTAATATGCTGTCTAGGTTTGTCACAGCTTTCCTTCCAAGGAGCAAGTGTCTTTTAATTTTCATGGCTTCAGTTACCTTATGCAATGATTTGGGGGCCCAAGAAAATAAAATCTGTCACTGCTTCTACTTTTTCCCCTTCTATTTCGCATGAAGTGATGTGAATAGATGTCATGACCTTAGCTTTTTGAATGCTGAGTTTCAAGCCATCTTTTTCACTCTCATTCTCATCAAAAGGCTCTTTAGTTCCTCTTCACTTTCTGCCTTTAGAGTGATTTTATCTGTATATCTGAGGCTGTAGATATTTCTCCTGGCAATTCTGGCTCCTGCTTGTGATTCATCCAGCCCGGTATGCAAGATACTTCAGAGGCCCTCTAAATTATCCCAAATTTACTTGTTCCCTCAGGGTCAGAAAGCCATTTGATCAAGCTTGCTTTTACTCACTGTATATGCAGGAAAAAACTAGTTTTGAAACCAGTTTTTAAGAGTTTTGTTTAAACCAACTTTATCTTATATCTAAACAAAATGGTGACCACACAATGTTACTCCATGTCACAAGGCAGAATGGCCATCACAAACCACAACATAGAGCTCAAAGTATAAAATACACACAGATCCAGCTGTCCTCATCAAACATTTCCTAAAATATTAGATTGCAGTCTCTCAGGAAACCTCCTTCAGAGACACGAACTCCAGTTCCAAGTATGAACAGAGTACATAGAAATCTCTCAGGTCTTCAAGGTTTCAAAGGGAGGAAAAGAGGCCAGGCTGAAAGAAGAGGGGGATGGTGGAGGGACTAAGGGGGTGCCCTTACAGACACCTGGTGGTCTCTTGCAGATGCAAGGTGTTATGAGACTTTCCCCTTGGCTTTCAGGAAGGGAGGATGGGAACTCAACCCTACCTGAAACTAGAGGCCAAATACCAGACCTGAACCAGAATTAGAGTTCTCTACCTACCAGAGGTGATCAGGTGTCAACCCTCAGATCGGGCTGAGGCCCTCCAAACAGACTCCTATGTCCAGGACCAGGACAGAAGAAAAAAAGGTAGGATAGGGGAGGTTGAAAAGGGGAAAGAGAGAGGGAAGGGGAAAGAGGTCAATAAAATCTCCTGTTCCTTCCCTGGTCAAGGGCAGGGATGACTCTGGCCAGTCATCCACGTCAGGAGGAGACCAGGGACAAAATGGCCCCAGCTGTGGCCACTGGGTCTGGTCCATCAGTGGGTGAGCTGGTCTCTGAGTACCCCAAGTGGTCAAGATGTCAGTTGTAGTGAAGAAGAGATTCCACCAGAGTCGCCATTTGTTGCAGGAAGGGAAACCTCTTCCAGGGTCTGCGAGTGGCCTCTTATCTAACATTCAGAAATGAATTATCTGAGGAGACACACATGCTGACAAAGCAAGAATCTTTATTGGAAAAGGACACCCAGATTTAGAGCTGAAGGGCAAGGGAACCCAGGGGAACTGGCTCCCAATCTCAGATTTTATAGTAATGGGGTTAGTTTCTGGGTTGTCTCTGGCTAATCATTCTGACTCAGGGTCCTTCCTGGTGGTACATGCCTCACAGCCAAGATAGACTCCAATGAAAAGGATTCTGGGAGGTTAGCAAGACATTTGGACTGGCAGCTCATGCCTCCTTTTGACCTTTCCTGAATTCTTCCAGTTAGTGGTAACCTGTAGTTCTGAGTTCCTTACCAGTACCTTCTGTTGTAAGATAATGCATGCAAGGGGCTACTGTTTTGCCTGGCCAAGTTGGGTGGCTCCTCTGACACTGCCATTGGAAATCCCACATCAGTGGATCCATGGTGGGTTTGAAGTGTTTACAAGGAATGCCATTCTTTGAATTTCACTTTCTTCCTCTGTGACATGATGCCCATGGAAGCAACTCCACGGGCTTGTGAGCCTTCAGTGAGATGATTCATACAAAGTACAAATGCAGGACCTGCCAGATAATTTCATGCTTAATAAAGGTCAAGTATTGTCATTATTATTGCACAGAGTCTCTCTTTAATAATCTTGCAGCATCCGTTCTTGCAATGCCTATTCAGCAAGACATTACAGGCCTTAATTATGCTTTGCTTCATATTGGAAACTCAAAGTACTACAATAACAAGCAGATTATATTGTGTTATACAATTTCTCTAGTTAAATTCCTTTACTGTGCTTAGTATTCACTGCCTCATATTCCCAATTGAGATACATGCCAAGGGGAGGATGAGACTAGAAACTTAAACTAGTCCATTAAAAACTTAAGAGGGGAGGGATAAATTAGGAGGTTGAGATTTACAGATACACACTACTGTATATAAAATAGATAAACAACAAGGACCTACTGTATAGGACAGGGAACTCTATTCCATGCCTTGTAATATCCATATTAGTCACTTAGTCATGTCCAGTTCTTTGCAACCCCATGGACTGTAGCCTACCAGCCTCCTCTGCCCATGGAATTCTCCAGGCAAGAGTACTGAAGTGGGTGGCTAATCCCTTTTCTGGGGGACCTTCCTGACCCAGGGATCAAACCCTGGTCTCCTGCATTGCCGGTGGATTCTTTACCATTTGAGCCAATACCTATAATAGAAAAGAAACTGAAAAAGAATAGACATTTGTATACATGTATAACTGAATCTTTTGAACTATGGTGTTGGAGAAGACTCTTGAGAGTCCCTTGGACTGCAAGAAGATCCAACCAGTCCATCCTAAAGGAGATCAGTCCTGGGTTTTCATTGGAAAGACTGATGCTAAAGCTGAAACTCCAGTAATTTGGCCACCTCATGCAAAGAGTTGACTCATTGGAAAAGACCCTGATGCTGGGACAGATTGGGGGCAGGAGAAGGGGACGACAGAGGATGAGATGGTTGGATGGCATCACAGACTCAATGGGCATGAGTCTGAGTAAACTCCAGGAGTTGGTGATGGACAGGGAGGCCTGGCATGCTGTGATTCATGGGGTCGCAAAGAGTCAGACATGACTGAGTGAACTGAGCTGAACTGATAACTGAATCACTTTGCTGTGCACCTAAAACTAACACAGCATTGTAAATCAATTACTTCAAGAAAAACATAAATAAAATTTTAAAACATTTGACTTGGGAAGCAAAGCTACAAATGTACTTGATCAGTATGTGAGAAATCCATGTCTCCTTTGCTGTGGAAGGAAGTGTAGATTGTATGGTCTCTTTTTTTTTTCTTTCAGCTTTATTGATATATAATTGACATACAGCACTGTACATGTTAAAGGTATAAAAGCTAATGATGTGACTTACATCCATCATGAAATGATTATCACCATAGGTTGAGTGGACAGCTATCATCTCGTAGAGATACAACAGTGAAGAAATATTTTTTAAAAATGTTTCTGCTTGTGCTGAGAACTCTTAAGATTGTCTGTCTTAACCACTTTCACATTTGACATGTAGCAGTCTTAGTATATACAATATTTATCATATTGTGTGTGTGTGTGTGTGTGTATAAAGAAGCGTTACAGAGTATATGATACACATTCACAGCAAATTATTTGATAACCAGGAAATCCCCAAAGCTGCTAAAAGTCAAAACTGGAAGCTTGGTTAAGTAAATTATAAACCATTCATATAACAGAATTTTAGATAGTAGCTAGTTTTTAAAAGGAAAAGAGGTTACTAACCTAGAAAACCCTCAGAAATATAACATTACATGAATAAAGAAAAATAATACATATAACTATTTATGCAAAAAAAAGTCTATATTTGTGTATATACATATATGTGTACATAAAAGCATAGGAAAAGGCCATAGAAAAATACATAGCAAATTGATAATATTGATTACTTCCTGGAAGGTTACTCTGGATATATCCGTATGGTTGGAATTATTTACCACAATTAGGTGTTTGTTGTGTGAAAATGAACTTTGACAGATTATGTTATCTCAGTGGTGATGCTCAAGTCTAGCTCACTTTTTGAGAAGGATTCGAGAGTCCTCTCTTTGCCAACAGTGCTGCTCCAAAGGACTCTCCTGCAAGCTGTTTGGAGCTGTCCATCCCTGGCCCCACGATCACGGCTACAGTATACAGCATCCTGGGGTCCAGCCAGCCATCCTGGGTTTGGATCAGGGCTTCCCCCTTGCTGTGCTGCGTGGGCCCATTGATCTCCACCCTGGACTGAGCTCCCTCCCTGGGAACCCTGGTCCCTCCTTCAGACCAAGGAGTCATTCCTGGGGGCTTGTACCCTTTGAACGTGCTGAGATTCCCAGATGCTAATGTGAGCTCTCTGCCTGAGATGGGCAGGCTGAGTCCTCCTTTCTCGGCTGGCTTGGTCTTTCTCTGCTCTTAGGGTAGCAGGCTTCCCCACACGAGGTCCTAAGATGCTCACTGAGCTCTGACCACCAAAGACAAAGTCACTTTCTCTCCATTCCCATGGCCATTCAACTTTTACCTGCATACGCCTCTCTCAAAGATTTTGTAATCGGGATGAGAAAGTGGGTGGGCTCCTTCCACAGGCCCCTGAGGAGGCTTTCGTGTCTTTATCCTGCAGTTCTGCTCATGTAGGTCACCCACACAGCCTTTTCTCCAGGAACTTCTTGGTATGCAGCAGGGTAGCCTCAGAGACCACCAGTCATCAAGATAGACCATGTGTCTCAACTCTCAAGGGCTCCAGCCAGCTTGTGATCTTGCAACATTCATCTCTTAAGATGATTGATTTTGCTACCATCGTGGTTCCACCCTCATGCCTAGGGGAGGCTCCAAAGCACACATTTACCATCCTTGAGTAACTGGACCTGCTGGAGACCTCAGATGTACCCTGACAATGCCTAGCTCCATAATTTCAGCTCTCACTGTGAAATTCTAAGTTACATGGAGAGAATTCTTTTCTTTGACCATGACTCCTAAAGGCACCAGGGAAACCAGAGCCAAGCTGTGATGGAGCAATGAAAGAAAGGCTAAAAAAATGTTCCCAAACTCTCCAGTTTTGTATTTGCATATCCGAGAAACCATTTGCTAGTCTGAGAAAACAGTTGGGAAATAGAACAAGGAAACTAGAATATCCTAGGACACTCCCTTGAGAGCTTATATTTGAATCCTCTTCCTGCTCTACCACCTCCTACCCCACCCTCCTTTCTGGTGACAGGGAGAGTATAAATTTTAGCTGGGCTCTGTCCTTGCACCACACCAGAGGCCAACATGAAGACAGTCACCATCTTTGTTCTGCTGGCTTTTGTCATCATGGGGCTGGAGGTGGCCTGGGCTCAGAAGTCTCCTGGCAAAGGTGAGGGTGCTGAGGGGACCCTAGCTGACAGCAGAGAAGGCTCAGAGCCCAGCGTTAGACCTGAAGGTGGTTTTGCCTGGAAGCAACCAGGTCCCCACAGCAGAGTGGGGAGTTGGCATTGATTAGATGCATTTTCTTTGATCTAAATGAGCACTCATCCTGTGTGGCCCATTCTCCCTATCAGACTGGGTTGGGTCTGATTAGAAATTGGGGGTAAAGGGTACATTTTCTCTCTAGTTAAGACCTGTGCCTTGTGTGTGGGACCCCAGAGGAAGCTGGGGGACAAACAGAATGTGGAAGGCAGGGGACAGTGATCTCTGTAAGCAGAGGCTTCTCTAGAATCTTCATATAAGGTGGGAAGAAGAGGGTTATGACTGTGCAGGTTTCTTATCTTCTGAGACCATGCAGCCTTCAGAGAAGGGAGAGCATTCTCCTAAGGCCCAGACTGTGGACTGCATGAGAGAGGAGCAGTCAGGGCTCGGGGAGGAGTCCAGAGCACAGAGGAAGCGATGGAATAGGCAGCAGTCCTGCCTGTGATGGAGGCATCAGGCCTTCAGCGTCAGTTCTCAGGCCTGTCTTAGTGACTGTTCCATACTCCAAACACCATCCTGTGTTTCAGGACAACAGAGACCTGGATTCTGCCCAGAGTTGCCCAAAGGTACTGTAGGAATTTGTGTTGAACTGTGCTCAGGAGATGATTCCTGTCCTGAGGGAACGAAATGCTGCAGCAATGGATGTGGTCATGTCTGCAAAGCTGCTGTCTTCAAAGTGAGTACAAGTCAGTCAAGAGCTGGCCAAGGGGTGCACATAACTCTCCAGTGGACTTTGCTCACATGTCCACCGCACAGGAGAGTCTAGAAAACTCCCAGAGAAAGGGGATGGAAGCATGGCCGAAGGACAGCTGGCCACATTATCTGAGGCCTCCTCCTAAAAGAGGAGCCCTATCCCAGGACAACACTGATGGGTTCAGTTGAGACAAGTATCCATGATATAGATTCACAGGTCATTCTCAACCAAGGTTTTCTCACTTTATTTCTCCTTCCTCACCAAAGGGACTTAACTCTTCCTGGGAAATGGACCATCCCGGGAAGAGGAAGGAAGGGAAAGGAAATCCCTAGGGACTGAGTATCTCCTATGTTGACAGGCTTGCATTGTGCGGGAATTGAAACAAAAAGACATATCCAACTGGATAAATGAGACAGACATAGATAAACAGTCTAAATGTAGGGTGACCAGTGCTTTGTACAGATTTCTCGTGCACTGTGGGAGAAAGAGAGGGGTTATGGGCTTTACCTAGAGGGAGAGAGATTGGGAAAGTTGTCAGAGAGTAGAGAACATTGAGCAAGAGAATTCAGGGTGCAGAAAGTCAGCAGGAGGAAGGCAGGGCAGTTGAGGGGGTGGGAGGAGTATGGGTCTTCCATTGGAGACGAGGATGTGGTGGTAGCAAGAAAGGCCTGCAGCATCTCAGGGGGATGGTGGAAGGTCATCCATGCCAGAGTCCAGTGAGGAGAGAGAGCTTCCTGCTGAAGGGTTTGGTAAACTGCTGGATATTTCTAAGCACAGTTAATGTCATGACCAAATTTGTATTTTTTAGAAGATTGGCTCTGGTGGCCGTGCGAAAGTGAACTGAACAGTTATTGAGCATGCCTAAAGAACAGCACCTGAAGATTTCTTGTGAATCCACAAATTCTATGCTTGGCATAACAAGACTTCCATATCCATTCTTTGCTCTTTCCTTTGCCTGAAATTGTAGCCCTGGGGGATAAAGATCTAAAATGGTGCAATGGCTGCTTTCTAAAAAAGACTTGTGTTCAAAATAAACTAAATCTGTGGCATAGTTTGAGGCTGTGCCTGTCTTTCCATCTAGGCATTCTGGTGGATCTTCTTCGGCTAGCAGGACCATATGTGCGCTTTGCAGTGGGGGCATGAATACAGGGCACTCAGAAAACCAATAGATCAGACGCGAGTTCCTCCCAGCTAGCTCCTTTCCTCCTTCCACATCTCTGTCTCTAGACAGGGCAGAAGGCACCAGAATATTTTCTCAAGCGCCATGTGAAGATGATTTTGTCAAGCAACAGAATGAATGAGTATGTAGCACCTAGTAGGCCTATTGCAGCAGCTTTTATTAGGGCAAGACTCCAGAGGAGTAGGAGCAGGTGCAAGGGTGGGGATACCCCATTCTAAGGCAGCACACCGATATCTAGTAGGATGCCTAACTCCAGGAGAGCCATCCTGTTGCCTGGGATGTGGGTGGCATGAATTGGAAAATATCAACTGCTATCTTGAAGTGATTCGAAGTTAGGATACAGTTAGGAGATAAATTCTGAGGATGTAGCCTTCCATTCAGACTTCCCTGAGACATAAGCTAAATCTTAGTCTCCCAAAGAGTCTGACAAAAATGATGGATGGGACTGACTTTCTCGAGTGCTCAGTTTACTTCTTTCCATCAAGATTCCTCCACTTAGCCTGATGAGTGTGAAATGTGGTCTTCCATATCTGTGTCTTCCTGTCACCAACACTGCTCTTGTACATCTCATAAGCCCAATGTCACATGGCCTCACCAGTCTGTGCAGAGGAATGAAGGCATATTAGCACTGAAATCTTCTGTCACTGTCTGGTCATCCTCATCCTAAACCCTTCCAGTCTCCTTTGGTCATTTATGAGGGTTCATGAGCATACCTCTAAAAAGTTCCCAATCAATTTCACCATTTATCTGCCATTCTGAATGCCAAAGTATGACCTTCCCTGGCAAAGATACTGGAGGATGGCCTCCTACAACTTCCACTTATTTCAGGTAGTGCAGATATCCCTAGAAAGTTGTTTGTGCTTTTTAGTAAACTTCTCATTTTTCTCACCTGCATTTAAACTGCCTTTATATTTAAAGGAAAACTCTTATTTCTCCCTATAGAAATTGATAAGGCCCAGATAATACAAGACTCACATTCCAGTTTTGGAATTCAGCAATACTTCCAATTCAGTGTCAATTCTCCAAATTGGGGCAGAACTATGCCTCATTTTAGCAGAAGATGGCCAGATCCGTCTCCTCCCGGTTCTCTGAATGAAACTGAGCAGGACTCTTTGGGGGTCCAGAGTACAAGTCTTTTCTGTGTCCCCTGTTTTTTGTTGGGTATAGGCTTCATTCAGCCTTCCTGACCTTCTCTGAGTTCTCTTGAGTTCCATCAGGCAGATTCAAACACTCACTAATCAGGGCAGGGAGGGAAAAAACAGAGAATGAGCAGTCAAGGGTGGTACAGTCTTGAGGTAGGGTCCCAATTCTTTTACAAGTAGCATCCATAGCAATATCTTTGAGTTCTCCTACAGGAACTAAGGCCTTCAACCAGAAAGAGGATAACTTCAGGCTAAGCACAAGATTCCTAGAGTACCACCCTGTTACCTCAGCACTAGCCAATCAGAAGAAAGCCATACACCCTGCAGTCCTCAGCCCAAATCCTGCCTTCTTTTCCTGAGTCCTGCTAAAATCATCCTTTTAAGCCTCCTGGTTTGGCCCATGTCTGTTTCAACTGCTTATGAGGTTCGTATCTGACAGGGTCCAACAGTTTCAGGCCAAATCGTTGTTACTACAAGGATGAATGCTGGTTTGGGACCCAGAATACCTCGTTTTGGATCAGGAGGAGAGAGACTTCTACCCTGCTAGTAAGGCCTAAGCCCACTTCAGCAGGAAGTAGTTTTAGAAGAAAGAGACCTCTGCCCCAATTCCCAGAAAGAATCTGGAGTATGAAGTCTCTCAGCAGAAATTGTTAGGAGAAATACTGACTGAAACTGTCCACTCTGGCCAGGAAAAGTAGTAACCACTTCCACGAGTTATCTCACAACAAGAGAGCCTGGTAAGGAACTCAGAGCTAACACGCTGCCACCAACATGAAGATTTCGGGTAAGGTCAAAAGGAGGGAGGAGGTGCCGGTCCAAATGTCCTGCCACCCTCCCCGAATCCTCCTCACTGGAATCCATCTGGCTGAACAATGCCTCCACTACCAGGAAGGACCCTGAGTTGGAATGATTAGCCAGAGACAGTCTGGAAACTAACCCCATTACCATAAAACTCGAGCCTGCGAGTCACGTCACAGAGCAGTTCTGGTTTCCTGTGGTTTGCCACCTGGGTGCCCCTTTCCAGTGAAGTCTCTCACTTTGTCAGCATGTGTCTCAATTCATTTCCAAGTGTTAGACAAGAGCCCACTCTCAGGCCCCGGAAGGGATCCCTTTTTCTGCAATGGTGAGGTCCTGAAAAATCCCCAAGATGCTTTTCATGCACCTGGAAATGAGGAGCAATTTAACTGTCTGGTGAAAACATTATTTCTTCGTGAAAAACAAAACAAGATGATGCCCTTATAAAAAGTGGACTTCTGGAACTGGAGTGACAATCACAAATGTGGGGATCTATTAAATTCTCGTGACATACTATCATTTGAAGGCATCAGGGGTCTGCAGCAGCCATGAGGCAGAAATGAACAATTAAGTGAGAAGACTGAGTGGAGACCTTGAGAATTCCTAGATGTTCTGTAATTGAGCAGGATCCTAGGGAGCCCTCCTGGTACAGAACCTTCCCCCATCCTCTGCTTTAGCCCTTCCGAATTGGATACAAATTAGTGACTAAACAACAATGAAGTACCCAGATGATAGCACCTGATAGACATTTCTTGAGTTGTTTTACACAAGCTAAAATCATCCCCAAAGGAAATAGATTGATCACCTAATGACCATAAGCACATTGTCCCCAGGCCTACAGGAACCTTGGGATTGACGATGTTAAACCCTGTGACACCTTCACCATCAATCAGAGAAATGTGCATGAGTCAATCACATACCCTGTGACTCTCCTCACCTTGCCTTTTAAAAGGCTTTGCTGAAACCCATCAAGAAGTTTGGGTTTTTTGAGCACTAGCTGTCCCAGAATTCTTTGTGTGGCACCTTACAATAAACACTACACATTGCTTCACAACAATCCAGGCTGCATTCAGGGGAGAAGACTCAACTTTTGGTTTGGTAACACTCAGTCTGCAAAAACCATCCATTTGATCAATAATTGCAGCCATCAAAGTTTTATTCCTAATTTTTCTTTTCAGAATGACATATGAGATGCCTCCATGCTCAGACTCCTAAATTGGCTGAAACTCGACTGTTCTGGAATTTCATATTCCACAGAGTCATTTCCCATCCCCACCAAATCTTTTAAACATCCAACTGCTGCTCAGCCCCCTAGTCCCAGATCTTGTTCGTGTTGCATCTTTGTCATCTTTGTCTTGTTTTATGAAGAGCCCATGATGAACATTAAGACATAGTGTCCATAGCATGACACCTTACTAGGTTAGAGATGATGAAATTTACAAAGTCAGATGTCACAGACCTGACCATCTCCTTAACACCTGTGGGCCTGCTGCCTTTCTGCATGACTTTAAGTGTGTAATAGATAATATTTGGAGGGATTCACAAGGTGTTCTCCCTCTCTCCCCTACTTCCTTACACTCACACCCATTCCCCTGTGTCGACTAAAATGATGCACAGTGTGAGTTTCGAGTTAAGTTTTATTTGGGACAAAATGAGGACTGCAGCCCAGAAGATAGCACCTCAGACAGCTCTGAGAGACTGCTCCAAAGAGACAGTGGGGGAAGGTCAATATATATGATTTTAGCGAAGGAGGAGTTCTATGCAATTAAGCACTCATTTTATAAATGGTTTTCTGCTGGTCATGAGGAGCTGATGTCATCATGATTTACTCCTTTTCTAGGTATGAAAAGATGCAAAGGTTGGGATCATGAAATCAGTTCCTGAGAATATCTAATGATTTTGGCGAAGGAGGAGTTCTATGCAATTAAGCACTCATTTTATAAATGGTTTTCTGCTGGTCATGAGGAGCTGATGTCATCATGATTTACTCCTTTTCTAGGTATGAAAAGATGCAAAGGTTGGGATCATGAAATCAGTTCCTGAGAATATCTAACTATCTAAAGACTTGTTCCACCAGATTCCCTGGAGCAGAGTGCTTCACTGCACCCTGAACTGCCTCAGCGGGTACCGAAGGTCACCAGCTTCAGCAGCACAGGGTTCCATCTTCTCAGAGGCGGAGGCAGATGTTGTTATTGTAGCGCTGTTGTTGTTGTTCAGTCGCTGGCAATGCTCTTGGCAAGTGACAATTTGTAAGTGGCAATCAACTGGGCTTCCCTGGTGGCTCAGCTGGTAAAAAATCTGCCTGCAATACGGGAGACCTGGGTTTGATCCCTGGGTTGGAAAGATCCCCTGGAGAAGGAAACGGCTACCCACTCCAGTATTCTGGCCTGGAGAATTCCATGGACAGAATAGTCCATGGGGTCACAAAGAGTTGGACACAACTGCGTGAACTTTCACTCACTCACTCAAGCAAACAATTATAAACCCAGACTCACCGGCCTTGGGGGAGGGTGAACTCAGCTTAGGGAAGCAAATCAACTGAGTTCCTCAGCAGGATTTCCTTGCTAGTCTACATACTAGTTCTGAAAGCACAGGTTTTCCATTTCAAGATCTGGGATTTGGGGTAGAAAAGGATTTGGGTGGAGGTGAGGGGGTGGGAATAATGCTGAGCCCTCAAAGATAGTTTGAAGATCCTGTCAACTACAAATCAGCGCAGGTGGTAAAGTATCTGCCTGCCAATGCAGGAGACTCAAGAGACACGAGTTTGATCTTTGGGTCGGGAAGATCCCCTGGAGTAGAAAATAGCAACCCACTCCAATATTCTTGCCTAGAAAAGTCCACAGACAGAAGAGCCTGGCAGGCTACGGTCCATGGGGTCGCAAACTGCTGGACGTGACTGAGCACACATTCACACACTCTCAAGGGCATTTGCCATCTGCCTCTTCCAGGAATGACTCCCATGCAGCTGTAGCTGTTGATCTTTGACACGCCATGAAGGGAGGTCAGGGTGGAGAACAGGAATGAGGCACTTTGTCCTACAGAAAAACTGGTGGAGCAGCTCTTTAGATAATTAGATATTTCCAGGAACCGATTTTATGGTTTCAGTCCTTGCATCTACTCACCCTTTATGATGGCATCAGTCCCTGGTGACTAGCAGAAAGCCTTATGTAAGGTAAGTGCTTGATTGCACGAACCCCCCCTTCGCCAAAATCACATATATTGACCTTCCCCCTCTCCTTCCCTGGAGCAGTTTCTCGGAGCTACCTGAGATGCTCTCTCCCAGGCTCCAGTCCTCATTTTGTCCCAAATAAAACTTAACTCACAGCTCTCATGTTGTACATCTTTCTTAGGTTGATAGCCCGTAAAGTGTCAGTAGAATAAATTAATGAAAAATAAATAGTCACACATGGACACACATAGTGAAATACAATAAAGATAAAAAAATAAACAGTAAGTTCTAAAAGTTTCAGAGAGAAAACCATGACTGCCTCTGAAAGATGAAGTTCAGAATTCTCAGCAGCAATTCTAACCATCAAGATAATGAAAAATTATTTTCAAAGCATAAAGAAAATATTTATGCATAGAATATTATAACCAGGTAAGTGATCTCTTAAATGTGAGAACGAAATTAAGATAATCCTCAGGCATCCAAGGCCACGAAGTCCTTTTTTGAAAACACTCTTGGAGTAAATATTTCAGCAACGAAGGGAGAAAAAGTCAGAAGGATGATTCAGATTTATGGGGAGTAAGGGTGAGTTTACAGCTTACTAATAAATGGAAATTTTTAAAAAATACAAGCATAAAATCTAGAACTAAAATTCTATATGTTATCTATGTGGCTATTGAGTAAGGTGGGGTTAAGGGCACAAACACAAAAAGAAATGAGGGCAAGCTAAGGTAATGCCCTTGTTCTGGAAAAGCTGCAAACATTAATAATGCTTAAAAAATCAACGGGGGTAAATTCCAGAAGAATAAAATTAGAAGTATGAATTTTAAATTACTAGATGAAAATTTTAACCTAGTTAACAGAAACAGTAAAGAAAAACAAACAAACAAAAAAAGCAATAAGAAAGTATGATAAATAAGAAACATGAAACATGGTGACAGGATAAATCCTAGTTTAACAGCTAGGGCCATAAACACAAGTAGGTTACACTTACTGATCAGAATGTAGGGAATATGCTATGCACAGGCCTGTACTATAATTAACAGGGCTTCTTTGGAAAATAAGAATGACTTTATCATCACCCCCAGGCAAAGGGCTGGGAGCAGTAAAAAGTACATTGTGGAAAAACATCTTGAAAACAAGATGTTGAAGTACTGGTGTGACTGATGGAAAACCATTAGTGACTGTTCTCATAACCAGAGCCTTGAGGGAGTTGCTGAGAAAGGTCGTCACTAGCTGAAGAGCTAAACACCATCATGAATGGCCTGAAGGTTTGCCATTGAGAGCTGTGCATTGTGTATCTTTATCCCTGATCTGAGACTGTAAAAAATAGATATCTCTAGAGCACAAGGAAGTAGATGTTAGCAATAAATGGCATGCAAGGATTAGGATCTGAGCTTTTGCTTTCGAATGAGTCTTATTTTTCCTTATTCTTCTTTGGCACCATTCCCTCGGGTTGGTTCTTTGTTGGGCTGGTCCCAACACAGAAGACCTCTCAAACTGAATAAAATGACTTTAAGTCAAGCAAAATATTGCTTTAAGGAACATATGAAAAATGTCTAATAGTATGTCTTAAAAAGATGGAAATTTTACTGGACAAATATGAACTAAAAGAATGCTGAATTATCAATTTTGATATTTAGCAAAATTATTTTAATGTCAAATACATAAAGGGAAAAGGATATTAGTTAATGTTAAAAGGAATGATAAATTAAGACGATGATTGTGAACACAGGCACATATACTCCTAAAATTATTACTTGACATATATACAAAGAAATAACTGATAAAAGTAAAAGAAATACATGAATAAATTATTTTAGTTGGATATTTTATCATATCCCTCTCAGAAATTAATGAATAGTACAGACAAAAATAATGAAAAATAAAGACAAATTAAATTATAAAGACTAACAAATTCAAACTAGTAGATAATAGACAACTTTACACTCAACAACAGAGAAGACAGTTTTTTGTTTTTATTTTTCTTTTTTAGTGTTTACAGGACATTCACAAAAACCAAACAAGTACTAGGCCACAAAGAAATTCAAAACATATTCCCAATTTTATAAGCTATATTATCTAGCTGTAATGCAAAAAAAACAAAAATTCTTAACAATTCTTAGAGTCTTCCAGAAAATAGAAGAGGAAAATCCTATGCTAATATCAAAGCCAGATAAAGACATTACAAGAAAAGAAAATTAAAGGCCAATATCCCTTATAAAAATAAATGCAAAAATCCTCAAAAAAAATACTAGTCAAGTGATTTCAATAGCATAGTAAAAGGATTATGATCTAGTAGGTTTATCTTAAGAAGGCATTGCTGGTGAAAATCAATAAATATAATGCACCACATTAGTAGAATAAAGGAAGAAAAAACACATCATCATCTAAACTGATGCACCAAAAGGATTTGACAAAATCTAACATCCTTTAATGGTAAAAAATACTAAGAAAATTAGGAATAGAAGTGAGTTTTCTCAATACAATAGATGGAATTCATGAAAAATTCACAGCTAACATCATATTCAATAGTAAAAGACTAAAAGCTTTCCTTCTAAGACCAGGAAAAAGACAAGGGTTCCTGCTTTCACTGTTGCTCTTCAACTGGAGCTTCTAGCCACAGAAATCATGCAAGAAAAAGAAATAAAAGGCATGAAAGTTGGGGGAAAAAAAAAAAGAAAAAGAACCCCAATTGAAAAAGAAAAGAATCCAAAAAAAAAAAAACAAAAAAAAATTAAAAAAAATCCAAAAAAAGCAAAAAACAAAATCAAAGAAATTCAGGTCAGTACACAAAGCAATTCATCAGCAATGTAAAATCCATAAAAGAAACTAAGCAAACAATTTCATCTACGATAGCATCCAAAAGAATAAAATACCTAGAAATATTTAACCTAGGAGGTTATTAACTGTTTCACCATTGAATGCCAGATTTCCATCCTAGGATACTAACAACATTTTCATTGCCTTTGGCTTCTAACTAGATCAATGCATGAAACCCAGATTCCTGCCATTTCCCTGAGCATAGTTGCCCTGTATCCACTCCTGACACCAGTTTCCACCCACGTTAAGCCCTTTTAGATACAGACAAAATAAGTCAATTCTGACTAAGTTGAGACAACAGGAATTTTGTTATTACACAGCTCATAAAAAAAAAACAGGAAAGACTGGTGAATCAGGCTTAGGAACATGTTAAGAAACAATATAAGGCAGGGAGCAGAGGATGTAGCCAAGTTCAGCGCACAGCCACAATCTGTTGGCACCTCTGCTGCTGTGAACTGTTTTTGACTATCCTTAAGTTACAGTGTCATTCCCTATAGATCCACATCATCAGAGAGAAGCAATAGAATGCCAAGCCCTATTTGTCAGGGAGCTGGAAGGAAGTATCTGGGCCTTGCCAATCTCCAGAGGGAGAAACAGAGTTTCTCTTAAATATAAAGGCAGTTTAAATGCAGGTGAGGGACTTTCCTGGTGATCCCAAGGTTAAGACTTCATGCCTGCAGTGCAGGGGGAATGAGCTCAATCCATAGTAGGGGAACTAAGATCTCACATGCCGCAGAGCACACCCGCCCCAGCCCCTGCCGAAAAAGAAGTAAATGCAGGTGAGAAAAATGAGAAGTTTACTAAAAAGCAAAAAACTTTCTAGGGACATCTGGACTACCTGGAAGGGAGAAACCTAAGTGGAAGTTATAGGATGCCATCTTCAAAATATTTTTGCAGGGGCAGGTCATTCAGTATGGCAGATAAATGTTTGAGAACAATTTAGTGGTATGGTCATGAACCCCCATAAATGACCAAGCGAGACAGGAGCATGGAACCCTTTGAAATGGGAATGGCCAGCCACTGAAAGATGATTTTAGGGCTAATATGCCCTCATTCCGATGCACGGACTGATGAGGCCATGGGGCACTGGGGTTCTAAGATGTGCTATATGAGAAGCAAGAGCCGTGTTGGTGACAGGGACATATAGATATGGACGAGCACACTCAGCAGGCAAAGTAGGAGGATCTCAGTGGGAAGAGGTGAACAGAGAGCTGGAAGAGAGAAAGCTTATAAGCAGACAGTCCAGACTATCATTTTTGCCAGAATCTTTGGGAAGCCAAGTTTTATCCTCTTCCTCAGGGAAAGTCTGAATCCAAAGCTCCATCCACAAAGCCTTTCTCATAACTGTGTCCTGACTCCAAATCACTCCAAGACAAGAGCTGGCATTTCCCAACTCATGTCAGCCCAAGGTCCACATGCCAAGGATCAGGCTCACTCTCCCAGAATTAGGCATCAAGTCCTGATAGATGTTGGTGCCTTGCCTTAGAATAGGGTATCCCCGCACTGTCCCTTCCAAGTCTTGCCCTAATAAAGTCTGCTCTAACAGGCCTGCTATGTGCTACGTAGTCATAGTTATTTATTTTTTATGCTCAACCAAATCATATTCACAGAACACTTGAAAAAATATTCTCAGACCTTCTGCCCTGTCTAGGCACATAGAGATAAAATGAAAGTGTTTGTTGTTCAATCATGTCTAACTCATTGCAACCCTGTGGACTGTAGCTCACCAGGATCCTCTGGAGGAATGAAACTAAATGGGGGGTCAGGGGGGACTTGCTTCTGGTCTGTTTGTATCCTGAGTGTCCTGTATTCATGGGCCCACTGCAGTATACACATGTGGTCCTGTTAAGCCGCGGAGGGGCCACCAGAATGCCTACATGGAAAGAAGGACACAGCCCATCTATGCTCCAGATTTAGTTTATTTTCCACACAGGCTCTTTAGAAAGCAGTCATCCCACCATTTGAGATCTTCATCTTCCAGGGCTACAATTCCAGGCATAGAAAAGAGTCGGGAATGGATGTGAAAGTCTTGTAGTTATGCCAAGCACCGAATCCATGGATTCATGAGAAATCTTCTGGGGCTGGTCTCCAGGCATGCTCAGTTAACCTTCTGCCCAACTTTCCCGTGGCCACCAGAGCCACCCTTCTAAAATACAAATTTGATCATGACATTAATTGTGCTTAGACACATCGAGCAGTTTACCAAACTCTTCAGCCGGAAGCTCATTCCTCTCTGGGCTCTGGCATGGATTACTTCTCCACTACCCTCTAGATATTACAACCCTTCCTCCCACCATCACTTTCTCTTCTCCACTGGGGCAGGTAGACACTCCTCCCACTCTCTCAGCTGCCCTGCCTTCCTCCTGCTGACTTCATGCATCCTTTATGCTCTCCCTGGACATTCTCTACTCTCTGGCAACTTCCCCAATCTCTCTCCTCCCAGGCAAAGTCAATAACTACTCTCTTTGATCCCACAGATCTCAGGCAAACTCTCTTTGGGGCACTCCTCAAAAGGTTGCAATTATTTAACGAGATCTGTCTCCTGAACCATGCTGTTCTTGTCTTTTTACTTCAATTCCAAGACAATGTGTCCCTGACACAGGAGATACTTGGGGTTCCCTTTCCCTTTCTTCCTCCTCCCAGGATGACCCATTTTCCAGGAAGCATTAAGCCCCGTCGGTGAGGGAGCAGAAGGAAAGTAAGAAACTCCTGGTAAAGAGTGACCTGTGCATCTAGGATCACAGATACTTTTCTCAACTGAACCCATCAGGGCTGTCTTGTGATAGGGCTCCTCTTCTAAGAGAAGACCTCAGATAATGCAACCAGCTGTCCTTTTGCCATGTTTCTAGCCCCTCTCTCCTGGAATCTTCCAGACTCTCACATGCAGCGGACATGTGAGCAGCCCTCTGCACCAGCAAAGTGCCCTGGGGAGTCATGTGCATCTTTGACCAGTGCATGGTTGATTTGTACTCACTCTGAAGACAGGAGTTGTGCAGGAATGACCACACCCATGACTGCAGCATTTCATTCCCCTGGGACAGGAATCATCTCCTGAGCACAATTCGACACAAGTTCCGATAGTACCTTTGGGCAACTCTGGGCAGAATCCAGGTCTCTGTCGTCCTGAAACACAGGATGGTTTTGTGCAGTCTGGAATGGTCACCGAGACAGGCTTGAGAATGGCTGCTGGAGCCCTGAAGCCCTCGTTGCCGGCAAGACTCCTCCTTCAGCCTTGACTTCTTCACTCTCACTCTTCAGCCCACGGTCTGGCCTTAGCAGAAAGTTCTCCCTGCTCCAAAGTCTGCACAGTCTCAGAGGACAAGAAACCTTCCCAGTCATAACCCTCTTTTTCCCGCCTGATAAGAAGATCTTAGAGAAGTCTCTGCTCACAGAGGTCTCCATTTCCCCACTCATGTGTGTGAGTCCCATACATGTTTGTCCCGCTCCCTGCGGAGTCCCACCGCTGGGCAAAGGTCCTAATAGAAAGAACCCTACACTTGACCCACGGCTTCCAATCAGACCCAACCCAATCTGACAAGGACCATGGGAAATGCAGGGTGAACTCTCACTTAGATCAAGGGAGATGCATGAGGGGACACCGTTGCTTCCAGGCCATACCGTTCCCACATTTAGCACTGGGCTCNTAATAGAGAGAACCCTACACTTGACCCACGGCTTCCAATCAGACCCAACCCAATCTGACAAGGACCATGGGAAATGCAGGGTGAACTCTCACTTAGATCAAGGGAGATGCATGAGGGGACACCGTTGCTTCCAGGCCATACCGTTCCCACATTTAGCACTGGGCTCTGAGCCTTCTCTGCTGTCAGCTAGGGTCCCCTCAGCACCCTCACCTTTGCCAGGAGACTTCTGAGCCCAGGCCACCTCCAGCCCCATGATGACAAAAGCCAGCAGAACAAAGACGGTGACTGTCTTCATGTTGGCCTCTGGTGTGGTGCAGGGACAGAGCCCAGCTAAAATTTATACTCTCCCTGTCACCAGAAAGGAGGGTGGGGTAGGAGGTGGTAGAGCAGGAAGAGGATTAAAATATAAGCTCTCAAGGGAGTGTCCTGGGATATTCCAATTTCCTTGTTCTATTTCACAACTGGTTTCTCAGACTAAGCAGCTTGTTTTAGGAGAGGCGAATATTAAACTGGAAATCTCAGGAACATGTTTTAGCTCTTCATTCATTGCTCCGTTACTTCTTGGCCCTGATTTCTCTCGTGCCTCTAGGAAGCATAGCCAAATAAAAGAATTTTCTCCGTGTAAATTACATTATCAGAGTAAGAGCTTAAGCTAGGTGTTGTTTGTCAGGGCCCATCTGGGGTCTCCTGCAGCTCCAGTTACACAAGGAGGATGAACGTGTGCTTTGGAGCTGCTTCCACGGCTGAGGGCGGGACCACACTGATAGTAAGTCACTCATCTAAGGGGATGGATATTCAAGATCACAAGCTGGGCAGGGCCCTTGGGAGTTGAAAGGCATGGTCGATCTTGGTGTCTGGTGATCTCTGAGGCTACCCTGCTTCATACCAAGAAGTTTCTGGAGAGAAGGTTGTGTGGGCGCCCTACATGAGCAGAACTATAGGAGAAAGACACGAAAGGGTCCTCAGGGGCTTGTGTAAGGAGCCTAGCCCACTTTCCCATCCCAATTACAAAATCTCTGAGAGAGGCGTATGCAGATAAACCCCCAATGACAGGGGGAGTGAAGAGAAAGTCGGCTTTGTCCTTGGTGGTCAGAGCTCACACAAGCATCTTAAGACCTCCTGTGGGGAGGCCTGGGCAGAGAAAGACTAAGTCAGCCAAGAGGGGACTCAGCCTGTCCATCTCAGGCAGTGAGCTCACATTAGCATCTCAGAATCTCTGCAGGTTCAAAGGGCACAAGCACTCAGGAATGACTCCTTAGTCTGAAGGAGGGACCAGGGTCCCCAGAGAGGAAGCTCAATCCAGGGTGGGGATCAATGGCCCCACGCAGCACAGACCATAGCAAAGGGGAAGCCTGGATCCAAACCCATGACGGCTGGCTGGACCCCAGGCTGCTACATGTTGTGGCCTTGATCGTGGGGCCAGGGCTGGACAACTCCAAAGAGCTTGCAGGAGCATTGCAGCACTGCTGGCGAGGAAAGGATTCCGGAACATCTCCCCAAAAGTGACCAAGATACGATGACTATCACTGAGTTAACATAATGGCAAAGGTCATTTTCACACAAACACGTGATTGTGGTAAATAATTCCAACAATACAGATATATCCTGAGTAACCTTCCAGGAAGTAATCAGTATTACGAGTTTGCTTTGTATTTTTCAAAGCTCTTTTCCTATGCTTTTACATATATTTATAAGTGTATATATAAACACATACATTTTTTGGTAGAAATGAAGTTATATGTATTATTTTGCTTTATTCAGTTAATGTGGTGTCTTGGAGAGCTTTCCAGGTTAGTATCTTCTCTTTTAAAAAGAAATAATAGCTACTATCTAAAATTCCATTTTATGAATGGTTTATAATTTATTTGGCCAAACTTCAATTGTTAAGACATTTAGCAGGTTGGGTTTTTTTGTCATCAAACAATTTCTTGTGGATATGTATCATACACTTTGCAATGCTTATATATATATTTATATATATATATACACACAATTATATATCATACATGTATACATATAATTATATACATAATTATATATCAGTATTTCCCCAGAATAGATGCCTAAACATGAAAATACAAAGGATGCGAAGGAGCCATCTACTGAAAAGATACAAGATATTTGCCAAATTGTCCTCCAGAAAGACTATGCAACTTATGGTTCAGTAATACACATACATGTATATCTCACACTTTATTCCACTATTGATGGGCACCTAGGTTTCTTGGCAGATATGAAATATGCAGTGTGGAGAATATAGTCAATAATTACGCAATTGTTTTTGTATGGTGACAGGTGACAACTAGACTTTTCCTGATGTCATTTTGAAGCATATAGAAACATTGAATCACTGTCTAATGTCCCAGGAACTAACATAGTGTTGTAGGTCAATTATACTTCAAAAACAAACAAATTCATTGAAAAAGTGTTCAGATTTATGGCTACCAGAGGAAGGTGTTGGGAGTATTAGATAAAGGTAGTTAAAGGTATAAACTTTCAGTTGTAAGTAAGTATTAGGGATACATAATAATATACAACACGATGCTGGGAAAGACTAAAGGCAAAATGAGAAGAAGGTGGCAGAGGATGAGAAGGTTTGTTGGCATCACCAATTCAATGGGCATGAACTTGGGTGAATTCCAGGAGATGGTGAGGGACAGGGAGGCCTGGTGTATTGCAGTCCATAGGATCACAAAGAGTTGGACATGACTTAGAGACCAAACAACATGGTAAAAATAATTAACAGTGCTACACTTTATAAACAAAAGTTGTTAAGAGAGTAAATCTTAAAGAGTTCTTAACAGAAGGGAAAATATTTTTTTCTACTCCTTTACTATTGTATCTCTGGAGATGATGGATGTCCACTAGACTTCTGGTGACAATCATCTCACAACGGATATAAGTTAAATCATTGTTTTACACTTTAAATGTATACAGTGCTGTATGTAAATTATATCTCAATACAACTGAAAGGGGAAAAAAAAAGACTATACCATTTACACTTCCTCCCACAGTGAAGGAGACGTGAATTTGTAACACTGATCCAGTACATTCATAGTCTTTCTTCTGCAAGTTAAAGTTTTTCAGATTTTATTTATCTACTTGTAATTTGCTATTCATTTTTGGCTCTTCTAGATCTTCATTGCTACTCAGGCTTTTCTCTAGTTGCAGCGAGTGGGGACCACTCTCTTCTTGCAGAGCTTGGGCTCTAGGCGATGGACTTCAGTAGCTGCAGCCCATGGGCTCTAGAGCTCAGGCTCCATGGTTGTGGCCCATGGATAGTTGCTCTGTGGCATGTGGGATCCTCCCAGATCAGGTGTTGAACCCATGTCTCGTGGACTCTTTATCACTGAGCCACCAGGGAAGTCCTGTTTATACTTTTCTTAAGTATGTGAAGCTGAAAGTCACTCAGTCACGTCTGACTCTTTGCGACCCTGTGAACTATATAGTCCATGGAATTCTCCAGGTCAGGATACCGGAGTGGGTAGCCTTTCCCTTCTCCAGGGGATCTTCCCAACCCAGGAATCAAACCCAGGTGTCCTGCATTGTAAGTGGATTCTTTACCAGCTGAGCTCTCAGGGAAGGCTTAAGTACAGGTGGCTTATAATGTTGCATTAGTTTGCTGAATCACAGCAAAGTGATTCAGTTATACGTTGCTGCTGTTGTTTTAGTCACTAGGTACTGTCCAACTCTTTGTGACCCCATGGACTGTAGCCTGCCAGGCTCCTCTGTCCTTGGGATTTCCCAAGCAAGAATACAGGAGTGGGTTGCCATTTCTTTCTCCAGGGATCTTCCTGACCCAGGGATTGAACCCACGCCTCCTGCATTTGCAGGTGGGTTCTTTACCACTAAGCCATCAGGCAAGCCATTACACATATACACACATATCTGTTCCTTTCAAATGCTTTTCCATTATAGGTTATTACAAGATATGGAATGTAGTTCCCTGTGCTATACAGTAGGTCTTTGTTGTTTATCTATTTTCTGTATAGTAGTAATTAGCAAACTCCTAATTTATCCATCTTCCCTTAAATTTTTAATGGACTCTTTCAAGCTGTGTAGTCCCATGCTCCCCTTGGGATATATCCAAATTGGGAATATGAGGCAAAGAATTCTCATGACAGTAAAGGGACTTTATTGGCAGAAATTATATAACACAATATAATTTGCTTGTTACTCTAGCACTTCAAGTTCCCAGTATGAAGCAAAGGATAAATCATGGTCTATAACGTCTTGTTGACTACTCTTTGTAATAACAGATGTTGCAAGGTTATGAAGGAGGGACTTTGTCCAAGAATTATAACAATACTTGACCTTTATTAAGCACATGATTGTTTGGCAGGTCCTGGGTTTATACTTTATACCCATCATCTCACTGAAGGCTCACAAGCCTGTGGGGTTGCTTTCACCAATAATCTCCATGTCCCAGGTGAAGAAATGAGACTCAAAGAAGTGATGCCTTGCGAACACTTCAAACCCACCCCAGACTCACTGCTGTGGAAACTCCAAGGGTGGGGTCCAGAAAACCTCCCCAGATGCTGTTCATNTTGATGGGCATGAGTTTGAGTAAACTCTGGGAGTTTGTGAGGGACAGGGAGGCCTGGCGTGCTGTGATTCATGGGGTCGCAAAGAGTCGGACATGACTGAGCGACTGAACTGAACTTACCTACCTGATTAAAATCTTGATTTCTTTGTGAAAAACAGAACAAAATGATGTTCCTATAAAAAGTGGATTTCTAATACTCAAGTGACAGTCACAAATTTGGGGATTTGCTAAGTTCTCATGACATATTATCATTTGAAAAGACCAGGTGTCTGCAGCATTCGTAAGACACAAATGAACAATTAAAGAAGACTGAGCGGAAACCTTGGGAATTCCTAGATGTCCTCCTGTGTCTGAGCCAGGACCCCATGGGGGTCCTTCCCTAGACAAACCCTTCCCCCATATCCTCTGCTTTAGCTCCTCTCCAAGTAAGTGAGTGCTCAGTCATGTCTGATTCTTTGCGACCCCGTGGACTGCCCACCAGGCTCCTCTGTCCATGGGGTTTCCCGGGCAAGAATACTGAAGTTGGTTGCCCTTTCCTTCTCCTGGGGGTCTCCCCAACACAGGGATCAAACCTGTGTCTCCTGCATTGGCAGGTGGATTCTGTACCCCTGCACCATCTAGGAAGCCCCAGCTCCTCTCCTAACTACCCAGATAATAGTATCAGAGGCACATTTCCTGAGTTGCTTTACACATGCTAAAATCACCACCAATGGGAATAAATTAACTAGTTAATGACCATGAGCACATAGTCCCCAGGCCTATGGGAGCCTAAGGGTTGATCATATTAACCTCTGTACACCCTCACCATTAACCAATAAATTGTGCACAAGCTGAT